GGGTTAGGGGGTCCCGGGGGTTGGGGGGTCCCGGGGCTGAGGGGTCCCGAGGGTTGGGGGTCCCGGGGGCTGAGGGGTCCCGGGGGCGCTCGGAGAGGCTCGGGCGGGGTCAGGAGGAGGCCGGGGCAGCAGTGCCGGGGGATGGCGCCGGGGGCGGCCCCGCTCGCTCGGGGTCCCGGCACGCCCCTCCCGGCTCCGGTAATCACGTGATCCCCCCGGGATGCTCGGGGCTCTCCGCCAATCAGCGCGCGGGGATCGCCTGCATCCCGCTCGGCCAATGGGAAACCGCCAGGCGTTACGTCATGGCAGCCGGCCGCGCCCCGCCTCGCCATTTGCTGCCGCCCTCTCGGGCTCTGGCCAATCGCCGCAAGCCCCGGCCTCGCAACCACCTCGCCCCCGCGGCCTCACAACCGGTGGCGTCATCCCCGCAGATCGTCCAATCAAAATCGCTCTTGCCGTTGACAGGCAGGCACTCAGACCAATCACAACACGGAGCAGCGTGGCCGGGGCGGGCGCGGGGAGGTGCGGGCGGAAGCGGAAGCGGCGGCGGCGGGGGAAGATGGCGGCGCGGCGGGGCCCGGGGCCGGTGGCGGCGCTGGCTCTGCTGGCGCTGCTCGGCCCGGGGTGGCCCCTCCGCGGGGCCCGGGCCGCGCTCAACCTGCAGGAGCTCAGCGAGCTCAAGTACGGCCTCGAGATCCTGGCCGAGCCCGTGCTGGCCGGGCAGGTGCGCCGCGGCACCGGGGCCAACGGCTGCGGGAGGGGGAGGCGGGGGCGGCCCGGGGGCTCTGCCGGGACCGGCGCACCGGCCAAGGGGCTGCCGAGCAGCGGGGCGCCGGCTGCGGGTCAGGAGGGCCGCGCGGGGGGGGGAACGGGGACCGGGAGCGGCTGTGCGGGGCGATCCGGGGCGGGGCTCCGGTCACGGCTGAACCGGGCCCGGGGCAGGGGTCAGGGCTGAGCGGGGCATCGATCAGGGACCGAACCGGGGCACCGGTCAAAGCTGAACCGGGGCACCGATCAGGGGCTGAACCGGGCCCGGGGCCCCGCTCACGGCTGGGCAGTGGAGCCCGGCCGGGGGTCCCTCCCTGCAGGGGCCGAGAACGGGGCCGGGGGCACCGGGGCGGGATCGCGGGCGCTGCCGGGGCTGATCCAGGGCCGGGGGGCTCCCGGGTAGGGCTGGACACGGGCAGGGGCCGCGGCCCGGCGGGAATCAGCGGCTCCGGGGGCACCGGGCAGGGGTCGGGGGCGCTGCCGGGGCTGATCCGGGGCCGAGCTCGGGATGTCGCGGGCAGGGCTCGGGGCACCGGGCAGGGCTGGGCACGGGCAGGGCCGGGGACCCGGCCGGGTCTCAGCGGTTCCGGGGGCTCGGGGGTCCCGGGCAGGGCTCGGGGGGTCCCGGGCTGAGCTCGGCTCGGGGGGTCCCGGTGTCCGTACCTGTGAGCGGAGCGGCTCTGCGGGCACGGCCGGGCGGGGGTCCCTGGGGTGGCCGTGACCCCCCCGGCGCTCGCGCTGCAGCTGCCGCCAGATGTTCCGGATGCGGGGGAGGGGACAGAAGTGTCACTTCGTGTTTCGGGTCCCCCGGTCCGGGAGGTGGGGGGGGGACATCCCGCAGCCCCGGTTTGTCCCGGGGGGGGGACACGCCCCGCAGCCGCTGCTGCCCCGGTTTGTCCCGGTTTGTCCCGGGGCTCCTGGAGCTGTGGGGAGCCCCTGGGGGGTTTTGGGGGGTCCAGAGCCCCCCGCAGCTGCTGGGGCAGCCCAGGGCTGTGCTGTCCCCCCCCCGTGGGACAGGGACAGGGTGGGGGCTGGGCGGGGCGAGGCTGCGGTTTGTCCGGGCGGGGGGGGCTGTCCCGTCCCCCGGGGCTGTCTGTGGGGTCTCTGGGTGTCTGTGGAGTCACCAGGAGGGCTGGAGGTTCTCAGGGAGGTCTCCCCAAGGGGGGCAGAGCCCTGGGGGGTGTTTCGGGGTGCCAGGGGGCTCTGGGGTACCAGGGTGTGTTTAGGGGTGCCAGGAGGGGTTCTGGGGTGCCAGGGGGTCTCTCACCGTGCCATGCCCGCAGTGCCAGGCTGTGATGGTGATGGTGGCCAGGGGTGCCTCTGGGGGATGCCAGGGGATCTCTGGGGTACCAGGGTGTGTTTAGGGGTGCCATGGGGGTCTCTGGGGGGTGCCAGGGGGCTCTGACAGTCCGTGCCCGCAGCGCCAGGCGGGGGACGTGGTGACGGTGGCGTCGCGGTTCAAGCAGCGCTACGAGTGCCGCCTGCCCCCCGCGGCCGTGGGACCCCCCCCCCCCGGCCCCCCCCCGCGCCCCCCGCCTCTACAACGGCTCNGGGTGCTGGGGGGCATGGGGGTGCCAGGGGGCACCGCACCCTGCCTGCTTAAGGTGGGGCACAGAGGGGCATGGGGAGTGCCAGGGGGCATGGGGAATGCTGGGGGCACCCCGCCCTGCCTGCTCAAGGTGCGGCACAGTGGGACAAGAGGGGTGCCAGGGGAGCACGGGGGGTGCCTGGGGGGCACAGCACCCTGCCTGCTCAAAGTGGGCACGGGGAGTGCCCAGGGGGCATGGGGAGTGCCAGGGGGGCATGGGGAGTGCCAGGTTGCTCAGGGGTGCCTGGGGGCCACTGTCTCCTCCAGTCTGTCCTTGTCCCCTCCATCCTTGGGCTGGCACTGTCACCTTCCTGGCCCTGTCCTCTGTCCCGGGCTGGCGCTGGGACTGGCACTGTCCACTCCAGCCAGGGGCCACAGGGAGTGCCAGGGGGGCACCCCCTGCCTCACCGGGGTCTCTGCTCTTCCCAGACCAAGGACTGGTGGACGTACGAGTTCTGCTACGGGCGGCACATCCAGCAGTACCACCTGGAAGGTGACCCTGGGGACAGGGCAGGGACACAGTGGCACTGAGGACCCCTCCCCACGCCCCTCAACACGTGCCCTCTCTGTGCCCATCCCCCCAGAGTCTGAGATCAAGGGCGACGTCCTGGTCCTGGGCTATTACCAGTCTGCCTTCGACTGGGACGACGAGACAGCCAAGGTGCGCACAGCGGGCAGGGGCAGGGCTGTGTCCGCGCCGTGCCCACGCCGTGCCCACCCTGTGCCCACCCCGTGCCCACCCCTGCAGGCCTCCAAGCAGCACCAGCTGAGGCGCTACCACAGCCAGAGCTACGTGAACGGCTCCCGCTGCGACCTCACCGGCCGCGCCCGCGAGGCCGAGGTCCGGGTAAGGACGGCGGGCACGGGGGGCACCGGGGAGCACGGGGGGCACGGCAGGGCCTCACCCCAGGGCCGTGCCCGCAGTTCCTGTGCGAGGAGGGCGCCGGGGATTACATTGCCCGCGTGGACGAGCCGCAGTCGTGCCAGTACGTGCTGACGGTGCACACCACGCGCATCTGCCACCACCCGTTCCTGCGGCCCGCCCCGGGGCTGGCACCGCAGCCCATCCGCTGCCAGCCCGCCCTGTCGCCCGCCCAGTACGTCCAGTACGTGCGTGCCCAAGTCTGTGAGTACCAGGGAGGCCTGGGGGTGTGTGGGTGTGGGGTTGGAGATGTGTGCTGCCCGTCTCGAGGCTGGCACCGAGCCCTGGTGCAGGGCTGGCGCTGTCCCCTCCAGCCTGGGGCTGGCACTGTCACCTCTGTCCTAGAGCTGGCACTGTCCCCTCCTGCCTGGGGCTGGCACTGTTCCCTCCATCCTTAGGCTGGCACTGTCCTTTCCAGCCTAAAGCTGGCACTGTCCCCTCCAGCCTAGAGCTGGCACTGTCCCCTTCAGCCTAGAGCTGGCACTGTCCCTTCCAGCCTGGCTCTTGTTCTCTCCAGCCTGGCCCTGTCCCTTCCATCCTTGGGCTGGCACTGTCCTCTTCAGCGTGGACCTGTCCCCTCCATCCCAAGACTGGCCCTGTCCCCTCTATCCAAAAGGTGGCACTGTCACCTTCCTGGCCCTGTTCCCTCCATCCCAAGGCTGGTACTGTCACCTTCCTGGCCCTGTCCCCTCTGTCCTGGGACTGGCACTGGGACTGGCACTGTTCCCTCTGTGCCAGGGCTGGCCGTGTCCCTCAGACACAGGGCTGCCATGGTCCCCTGCAGCGTGGAGCTGGGGCTGTCCCCCAGCTGTGCTGTCACTGTCCCCTGTGTCCCCAGCTGACACCAAGAGGAAGGTGGAGGAGATCTCGGAGGAGCTGCGGACGCTGGACACACGGCTCTGGAGTGACAGGGACAGCGAGCCCCCCTCCCAGAGCCCTGGGGACCCCCAGGAGGGTATGGCCCTGTCCCCTCCTCACGGTGACAGCACTGCCACTGTCCCCTCTGCTCCTGGGAGCCCCCTTGGCTGTGGGCTTGAAGCTCCCAGTGGCAGGCGTGTCCCCCCTGTGGCAGCTGTGTCCCCCCCGTGGCAGGGAACCAGCCAGAGCCAGCCAGGGATGTGACAGCTGGGCAGCAGGAGGTGACAGCCACAGCCAGTGAGCAGCAGGACAGCACTAGGGTGAGTCCCAGTGGCTCTGGGGACATTCTGGGGGTCTCTTTGGGGGGGTTTAGGGTCCTGCTCCATCCCCTGTGTCCTCCCTGCAGGAGCCATCCCCAAGGGCAGCTGGTGGTCGGGCAGCTGGTGAGTCCTGGGGTGTCCTCCCCGTGTCACCTCCATGTCCCCTGTGCCCCCCTCTGCCACTGCCACCCCTCTGTTGTGGCTTCCCTCATAGATCCACGGAAGAAAATCCACTTCAAGGTGATCCGGAGCCCCGGGGACCTGCTGCAGTTCATCGAGGAGCTGAAGGAGACCACCAGGAAGGTGGGCACCTTCCCCCTGCCCCTCGGGCCCCTCCGTGCCTCAGTTTCCCCCTGAGCTCCTTCCCACTGCCTCAGGCCAAGGAGAAGGTGAGCGAGGAGGAGGAGGAGCAGGAGGAGGCAGCAGCCAAAGCTGCCCCAGCCCCACCTGGCCCCGCAGAGCCCCCCAGCCCCGAGGCCCTGCCCGGCCCCGAGGCACCCCCCACGGGGGAGGAGGAGGAAGAGGATGAAGAGGAGGATGAGGATGAGGAAGAGGAGGCAGGGCCGCTGCTGGCTGGGCTGGAGCTGCTGCCACGGGAGCAGGTGGCGAGGCTGAAGGAGGAGGTGAAGAGCCAGATGGAGCAGGAGTTTGACAGCATCATCAGCGAGGTGGGACCCCTGGGCCGGGACCCCCACAGGGGCACTGGGATCCCCCTGCCTGGGCTGGGACCCCCACAGTGGCCATGGGACCCCCTCACCAGGCTGGGACCCCCACAGGGATACTGGGACCCCCTGACCGGGCTGGGACCCACACAGGGGCACTGGGGGTAGCACAGTGACACTGGGAACCCCCCTGATTGGGCTGGGGCCCCCACAGTGACACTGGCACCCCTTTGCCCGAGCTAGGACCCCCACAGTGGCACTGGGACTCCCCTGACCGGGCTGGGACCCACACAGGGGCACTGGGGGCAGCACAGTGACACTGGGACCCTCTGCCTGGGCTGGAACTCCTCTGGCTGTGCTGGGGACCCCTGGGAGGGTTGGGACCCCCTGACTGCACTGGGACTCCCTGGCTGTGCTGGGGACCCTATGGGATGGTCAGGGCTGCCCAGCAGAGATGGGGACAGCGTTTCTGGGCCAGCTGCTCTGGGTGGCAGCTGGTCAGGCCGGGACCCCCCTCCCACCCCGGCTGCAGGTGGAGGATGAGCTGGAGACCGAGGGGCTGAAGGGCGAGTTCGACCGGAGCCGCGCCACGCGCACCCTGGCGTCCACCCTGACCCGCCTGATGGACCGGCTGGACAGGGCCGAGCCCCGCCGCGACCCCCCCGAGCCCCGCCGCGACCCCTCCGGGCCCCCCCCCTCTCCCGGGGGGCGCAGAGAGGACGAAGAGGAGGAGGAGGAGGAGGAAGGGGGAGCCGCGAGGAAGGGCAGCCCCCGGCCGGGCAAGGAGGGGCGGGTGCGGGTGCGGACGGGCAGGGTCGGGAGCCGCGACGCCCCCCAGGAGTGGGAGCCTCTCCGGGGCAAGCAGGAGCCCCCCCGGGAGGAACGGGAGCCCCCCCGGGAAAAGCAGAGCCCCCCGCAGCTGCCGCAGGTGGAGAACGAGGTGCGGGAGCTGCTGGCCAAGGAGGGGCTGCGGGCTGAAGGTACGGAGGGCTCCGGCCGTGGGGGGGACGGCAGGGGAGAGTTCCCCCGCCCCAAATCAACCCCCCCGGGCCCCCTCCGCAGGGAAAATCGAGATCAAGATCGTGACGGCGTCGTCGGGGGGCGAGGAGGAGGAGGCGGCGCAGTGGCTGTCGGAGGAGGATTCCCGCAGCCTGAAGGAGATTTTCCTCAGCATCCTGGTGCGGGGGCGCGGGGGGGCTGCGAGGGATGGGGAGGGAGCGGCGGCGGCAGCAGGCTCTGGAGGACAATTACCGCTTCGTGTGGGGGGGCCACGACGAGCCCCCCCCGCCCGCTGACTCCGAGGACCAAGACTTCTGATCCCCCAAATCCTGATCCCTTAAATCCTGAACGTGCCCCCAGAATTGTGGCTTCATCCCTGCCCTGGGACTGGGCACAGGGCACCCATCTCTCTCTCATAATGAGATGTCGCGCAGTCGTTCGCCCCCCCGTTTTATCAATAAACCGAGGTCACCCCGGGCTGTGTCTGTGTCGTCCCCCCCCCGTGTCCCCTCCCCCCGTCCCGGGGTCTACATTCCTCACCCCCCCCAAAATTGCGGGGAGGGGCGGGGCGGTGGGCGCGGCAGCCAATCAGAATTAGGGCGGGGCCAGGGGCTCGCCCGGCCTCGGCCAATGGGAGCGGGGGGGGCGGGGAACGCGGAGCCCCCGGGACCCCCGGACGGACCGGGACCACCACAACCCTCGGGGACAGCGGTGCCACCGGCACCGGCGGGACCCTCAGGAACCCGCGGAGCCCCCGGGACCCCCGGATCCGCTGGGACCCAGCAGGGCCCCCAACCCACCCAGGAACCAACAGTGGGACCCCCGGGCTGAGCCGGGACCCCCGACCCTCGGCACCAGGTGAGGCCACACCGGCACCCCCCGCTCCAGAACTCCCCCCGTCCCCAGGGGGGGGAGAGGTCACTGTGCCCCCCCCGGGGACCCTGCCCTGCTGGGGGATGTCACTGTGCCCCCCCCAGGGACCCTGCCCTGCTGGGGGATGTCACTGTGCCCCCCCGGGAACCCTGCCCTGACATCGGCTGCATTTGTGACACGGATGACCTGGGGGGGCAGGGGGACGATAACCCAGGGGTCGGGGGGGAGAGGTCACCACTGTCCCCCCCCAACTGAAAACGGGTTCAGTGTCGCCCACCCTGCACCCCCTGGATTTGGGGTGTCTGTTCAGTGTCACCCACCCTGCACCCCCTGGATTTGGGTGCCCTGCTCGGGGTGCCGTTACTGCCCCCTGGGTGTCACCCCCTCTCCGTGTGTGTCATTCCCCCCTCCGTGGCTCTGTCCTGTCCCCCACCTCCCACGGGCTCCACCCCGGTTGGTGGCAGTGGCAGGTGAAGCCGCAGCGGCTGGGGGGTCCCGGGGGGGTCCCCAATGACCCCCACACTCCCAAACCAGGTGGCCCCATGCCGCTCCGGGGCCTGCAGAGCCCGCGCCTCTCCTTCCACGGGGGCCTCTTGGTGGGCTTCATCACCACCTTCCTCCTCCTCCACGGCCTCCTGCTGCCCCAGCCGGTGCCTGCCCCCAGCCGGGACCCCCGGGTGGCCGATGCCCCCCCCGGGACCCCCCCGTCCCCCGTGCTCTACGGCGTGGCCCCGTCGGACGCTGCAGGTGGGCGCTGCTGCCAGGGCGGGTGGCGCTGGGAGGGGACACGGGGGACTCTGCTGGGGTGGGGCTGGCAGGGGAGCGTGGGGGGGCCTCATCCCCTCTGCTCCAGTGCTTGGGGAAGGTGACCACGCCCCGACGGCGACAAGGCGGGGACATCGGGCTCTCTGCTCCGAGCTCCTTGTCCCGCAGGCGAGGACGCGGGGGTGGCGCGGGGGCTGTTCCAGCGGGTGCGGGTGCTGTGCTGGGTGATGACAGCGCCCCAAAACCTGGAGAGCAAAGCCCGCCACGTGCGGGACACCTGGGCGCGACACTGCAACGTGGCCCTGTTCGTCAGCTCCGAGCCCGCCCCGCACTTCCCGGCCCTGGGGCTGGGGGTGCCCGAGGGCCGGGGGCAGCTCTACCGCAAAACCGCGCGGGCTCTGCTCTACGTGCAGCGGCACCTCCGCGCCCGCGCCCACTGGTTCCTCAAGGCCGACGACGACACCTTCGTGCTGCTGGACAACCTGCGCTGGCTGCTGGCCGCGCACTCGCCCCAGCGGCCCCTCTACTTCGGGAAGCGTTTCCGACCCTTCGCCCGCCAGGGCTACATGAGCGGCGGGGCCGGTTACGTGCTCAGCCGGGCGGCGCTGGCCCGAGTGGCCGCCGCCCTGGCCCGCGGCACCTGCGGCCACGGCGGCCCCGAGGAGGACGTGGCGCTGGGACAGTGCCTGGAGAGGCTGGGGGTGGCCGTGGGGGACTCGAGGGACACGTGGGGACGGGAGACCTTCCACCCCTTCCCGCCCGAGATCCACCTCACGCACCACTTCGCCCCGGGCTTCTGGTACCGGAGTTACAGCTGGTACCCAGTTGTGGAGGTGGGTCACAGCTCAAGGGGGGGACCCTGTCACTGTCTGGGCAGCTGGCGGGGGTGGTTGTGGCCCCCCACAAGTGGCCGTGCACCCCCATGCACGGCCAGACCCCCCACGTGTATCCTCAGTACCCCACAGTGGCCACTGTCTCCCTGAGAGTGGCCACCGCCCTTCTCGGGTGGCATCTGTCCTCACCGTACCTGGCTGTAACACAACCACGGACCCCTTGTGTGGCTCTGGTGTCCCCACCGTGCGTGGCCACGACCCCCCTGCTTGTCCCTGGTCACCTCCTGTGGCCGTGACACCCTCGAGGTGCAGCCACGTGTCACCCCCGTGCCTGGCTGGCGTGTCTTGCCACCACGGCCATGGGGGCCATGGCATCGCCCCTCAAATCCCCGTGCGGTCCCCAGCCATGCCAGGACATTCCTACCCTGTGTGTGACCAGCGTGTCCCCCACGTGGCCACCGTGTCCCCCCTCACACCTGGCCACAGGTGCCCCCCGTGTGCCCACGGTGGCCTTGGTGCTCCCTGCACAGCCATGATCTCCTCCCATGGCCGTGGCCCCCAGCCTGTCCCCCCTACGTGGGGCCCAAACTCCAGCCGTGGTGTCCCCGCTGTCACCAGTGTCCCCTCCGTGTCCCTGTGGCCTCTGTGCTGGCACTGCCCCGGCCAGGGGCTCTGCTGACCAGGAACAACCCCCAGCGCCCCTTCCCCACCCTGCCCCGTGGCACCAAGGGGGTGGGGGGGCCCTGGGTGCCCGGTGCCACCCCTCAGTGTCCCCTGTGTCCCCCCAGGGCCCGCAGTGCTGCTCAGATCTGGCCGTGTCCTTCCACTACGTGTCCGGGGAGGAGATGTACGCGCTGGAGTACCTGAGCCAGCGGCTGCGCCCCTACGGCTACCGACCCCGCTACCGGCCCCCCCTGAGCCCCCCCGNCCCCAAATGCCCCGAGCCCCCCCTCCGTGTCCTGCGCCCACCCCAACCCCGCGTCCCCGGCGGACCCGCGTGGCCCTAATTAGCGGCTGTTAATGAGCTTTGCGGGATTGGGTGGCCCTGATCCGGGGTGCCGGGAGCGGGACGGGGCCGCGGGGGTTTGGGGGGACCGGGGAGGGACCGGAGGTGTCTGAGCAGTGCACGGAGCTGGGGGAGGGGGGAAGGGTCCCACCGGGGGGGCTCTGGGTGGTGGGACCCCGACAGGACCCCAAGGCACTGCCAGGCCCCTCTGTGGGGACCCTCCCCTCCTGTCCCCTCCTGTCCCTTCCCGTCCCGTCGCCGCCTCCGTGGCTGAGCTGGCCGTGTCCCCGCTCTCCGTGTGACCGTGCTGGCCCCCCTTGGTGGCCGTGCCCCCCCTCAGGGTGTCCCTCCATGGTGACAGTGCTCCCCCCCCCAAGTCCGTATTGTCCCCGTGGTCCCCCGTGTTGCCCACCACGGATCCCCCGTGGCCGTGACCCTGTGGCACCCCCCCAGGTCCCTGGACCACCCCTCCCGGATCCCTGGACCCCCCCAAGTGCTTGCCCCAGCTCCTAGGGGAATTTTGGGGGTCAGGAGCAGTGGAGAGGGGACGGTGCCCCCGGGCTGGGGGGTGAAGGAGGCTCCGTATTTGGGGGTCCCTGCAGTGGGGGGAGCCGCCCCCCATTCCTGCCCTGGGGACCCCAAATGCCCACTGTCACTCTGGGGGGTCTGCGGGACTCCACGGTGGGGGGAGAGCCGGGGACAGACAGACAGGCAGAGGGACAGGGGGCAGGGTGGCAGGGGGACAGAGGGACAGGGAGACAGACGGACAGGGGGACACGGTCTGAGCTGGGGACAAGGCCCTGCAGCTGTGGGCGCCTCTGAGCTGGTGGTAGTGAGGGACAGCGGGGCTGGGAGGGTGGCAGGGGACACCTGGGGGACCGCCCGGGTGGTGACGGGAGCAGCGGCTGGGGACGAGGAGGGGACAGTGAGGAGGGGACAGTGGGGGTGGGACAGTGAGGAGGGGACATCGGGGGTGGGGGTTGCCCAAGGCTGGGGGGCTGTACAAGACAAGATGGCCGATTTTGGCACCCCTGTGTCCCTGAGCCGCTCCTTGTCCCCGCACAGCCCTCCCGAGCCCCCCCGCGTGTCCCCTCCCCATCTCCGCACGTCGCTGTCCTGCGGCTGCAGCCGGGCGCTGTTGGCTCCGCCCAGTCACACAGGCCACGCCCACATGTGGCCGCACCCCACTAAGCCCCGCCCACACAACAGGCACAGCCCACTGCGCTCGCCAGTGTAGCCACGCCCACCTAGTATACATCACAGCCTCGCCTACCTATCAAGCCCCGCCCTTTGAATAATAATATTTGTTGGCCACGCCCCCTTATTTACATAGGGACGTCCTACATTAAGTCACTGCCCCCTCAGGCCCCGCCCATCTCATTACTATGCAAACCCCGCCCCAGCTCAGATGGCCACACCCACCACGGTGCTGCCCCGCCCCCAGGCCCCTCCCCCACCTCTCAGTTTTGACCCCCGAGTGCCACCTGTGTCACCCACCCCGTGTGTCCCCACTGTCACCCACCCCCCGTGTGACTGTGTCACTCACCCGCCATGCCCTCCGCGCCCCGTGTCACCCACCCTCCGTGCCACTAACGCCCCGCACGAGTGTCCCCTGTGCTCTCCATGTCCCCTGTGCCCCCCGTGTCCCCTGTGCTCTCCATGTCCCCTGTGCCCCACTGTGTCCCCTGTGTCCCCTGTGCTCTCCATGTCCCCTGTGCCCCCCGTGTCCCCT